ATGAGCCCCTAATAAAATGATTAAAAAAAAAAAAAAGAAGCCTTCCTCAAATCCAGAAAAAGCATTCTTCTTCATATAATCCAGCTTCTCTGATGATTTTCTCAGCATATAGATGGAGTAAGTATGGTCAGAGGATACAATCCTATGGCACACTTTTCCTGATTTTAAACCATGCAGTATTCCCTTGTTCTGCTGCAAATCTACTTCCTGATCTGTATATACGTTCTGCAGCAGCACAATGATGTGTTCTGGAATTTCCATTCTTCTGAAGGTTATCCGTAGTTTGTTATGATCCATACAGTCAAATGTCTTGGCATAGTCAGTAAAACACAAGGAAACATCTTCTGGTATTCTCTGCTTTGAGCTAAGATGTAGCTTGATATCAGCAATGATATACCTTTTTCCACATCCTCTTATGAATCCGGTCTGGCACTCTGGCAGTTCCCAATGATCTTCAGAAAAATTTTATTTGCTCATGTTATCAGCGATATTGTTCCATGGGTCACCTTTCTTTGAAATGGGCTCATATATGGATCTTTTGAGTCAATTGGCTAAGTTGCTGTCTTTCAAATTTCTCGGCATAGACAAGTGAGTACACTGTAATGCCATCACAAATTAGTGTCTCTTTTTTATTATGAATCACTGTATTGTATTAAGAGTTCAAATTCTAAAGCACTTGGCTTGTAGAGGCTTCAGTCTACATTAGGATCCCTGACTCCACTTTGAGTCTTTTCTTAAGTTCGTTCTGAACATTAAACCAAAAATGTGGCTAACGCTTAGACAAGTCAGGAGTAAAGCTAGGGGCAGTTTTATCCTTAGGTAGAGCATGTTTAAAAGTATATTACAACTCCTGGGCTAGCCCAAGGTGGGTCAGTTTTGCTCTTGGGCTTGCATAAGAACTGGTACGTCCTTCAGGGTTTATTGCAGAGACTGCATATGATCGAGTGAGGGTTCTAGTAGCTATGACTTAGTGCTGCATGGACACGAGTCATACCCTGACCACTCGGCAGATGCCCCAGAAACAGTCCTGTAAAGTTTAACAATTTGCAATTATGTACTTTTCTAATTACGGTCCTTTCTCTATTTATGTAGTGCCACCTGCAATTGCCATAAGTTGACTTCTTAGTGATCTTGATCTTGTGGTAATTTCCATCATCTATAATTAGCTTCAGGTCCATGAATCAGTGAACTCCATTTTGGACACATGTGGATATTTCCCTCATACAGATAATTGCCCTCATTCATTCTTTCTCATGAGGCTCAAAAAAGGGTCTATAGAATATGATCTACTACTTGTCTGTCTGTCTGTCATATTGTAGTCACTGTGTGTTCCTAGAGCCTGTGTTACTATTTCAAATACCAACAAGGTCACCCAAATTGAACAGGCTTCAGCAGAACTTCTTAGAGTATAAGGGAGGAATATGAATTCGCTTCGCTTCAGAGGAATTAGCTCCTCAAAACCTATGGATAGCATCAAACCTTGTCACAAATTGAAAACAGCAACAGAATAGTAGCAGATCATTATCAGAGACAGTGGCGCAAGAAAATTCCTCAAGTCAGAAGGAACCCACAATATTTCTGAGGAAGTGCTGCCGTCTCAAAGTTGATTCCCCCATAATGACGTGGGTGGAGTATGATTCTAGGAAAATTGGAAGTCTTCAAAAATAAAGAGTGCATAATAAATGATATCC